GTGTGAGTGAGTGTATGATGTGTGAGTGAGTCAGTGGTAGTGTGAGTCAGTGGTAGTGTGAGTCGGTGGTAGTGTGAGTGAGTGTATGATGTGTGAGTGAGTCACTGGTAGTGTGAGTCAGTGGTAGTGTGAGTGAGTCGGTGGTAGTGTGAGTGAGTGTATGATGTGTGAGTGAGTCGGTGGTAGTGTGAGTCAGTGGAAGTGTGAGTGAGTCAGTGGCAGTGTGAGTGAGTCAGTGGTAGTGTGAGTGAGTCAGTGGTAGTGCGAGTGAGTCGGTGGTAGTGTGAGTGAATCAGTGGTAGTGTGAGTGAGTCGGTGGTAGTGTGAGTGAGTCAGTGGTAGTGTGAGTGAGTGTATGATGTGTGAGTGAGTCAGTGGTAGTGTGAGTGAGTCAGTGGTAGTGTGAGTGAGTCGGTGGTAGTGTGAGTGAGTCAGTGGTAGTGTGAGTGAGTCGGTGGTAGTGTGAGTGAGTCAGTGGTAGTGTGAGTGAGTCAGTGGTAGTGTGAGTGAGTCAGTGGTAGTGTGAGTGAGTCAGTGGCAGTGTGAGTGAGTCTGTGATAGTGTGAGTAAGTCAATGTATGTGTGAGTGAGTCAGTGGTAGTGTGAGTGAGTCAGTGGTAGTGTGAGTGAGTCAGTGGCAGTGTGAGTGAGTCAGTGGTAGTGTGAGTGAGTAAATGGTAGTGTGAGTGAGTCAGTTGTAGTGTGAGTGAGTCAGTGGTAGTGTGAGTGAGTCAGTGATAGTGTGAGTGAGTAAATGGTAGTGTGAGTGAGTCAGTTGTAGTGTGAGTGAGTCAGTGGTAGTGTGAGTGAGTCAGTGATAGTGTGAGTGAGTCAGTGGTAGTGTGAGTGAGTGTATGATGTGTGAGTGAGTCAGTGGTAGTGTGAGTGAGTGTATGATGTGTGAGTGAGTCAGTGGTAGTGTGAGTCAGGGGTAGTGTGAGTGAGTCGGTGGTAGTGTGAGTGAGTGTATGATGTGTGAGTGAGTCAGTGGTAGTGTGAGTCAGTGGTAGTGTGAGTGAGTCGGTGGTAGTGTGAGTGAGTCAGTGGTAGTGATAGTGAGTCAGTGGTAGTGTGAGTGAGTCGGTGGTAGTGTGAGTGAGTCGGTGGTAGTGTGAGTGAGTCGGTGGTAGTGTGAGTGAGTCAGTGGTAGTGTGAGTGAGTCAGTGGTAGTGTGAGTGAGTCGGTGGTAGTGTGAGTGAGTCAGTGGTAGTGTGAGTGAGTCGGTGGTAGTGTGAGTGAGTCAGGTAGTGTGAGTGTGAGTGAGTCAGTGGTAGTGTGAGTGAGTCAGTGGCAGTGTGAGTGAGTCAGTGGTAGTGTGAGTGAGTCAGTGGTAGTGTGAGTGAGTAAATGGTAGTGTGAGTGAGTCAGTTGTAGTGTGAGTGAGTCAGTGGTAGTGTGAGTGAGTCAATGGCAGTGTGAGTGAGTGAGTGAGTGGTAGTGTGAGTGAGTCAGTGGTAGTGTGAGTGAGTCAGTGGTAGTGTGAGTGAGTCGGTGGTAGTGTGAGTGAGTCAGTGGTAGTGTGAGTGAGTCAGTGGTAGTGTGAGTCAGTGGTAGTGTGAGTGAGTCAGTGGCAGTGTGAGTGAGTCAGTGGTAGTGTGAGTGAGTAAATGGTAGTGTGAGTGAGTCAGTTGTAGTGTGAGTAAGTCAGTGGTAGTGTGAGTGAGTCAGTGATAGTGTGAGTGAGTCAGTGGTAGTGTGAGTGAGTGTATGATGTGTGAGTGAGTCAGTGGTAGTGTGAGTCAGTGGTAGTGTGAGTGAGTCGGTGGTAGTGTGAGTGAGTCAGTGGCAGTGTGAGTGAGTCAGTGGTAGTGTGAGTGAGTCAGTGGCAGTGTGAGTGAGTCAGTGGTAGTGTGAGTCAGTGGTAGTGTGAGTGAGTCAGTGGTAGTGTGAGTCAGTGGTAGTGTGAGTGAGTCAGTGGTAGTGTGAGTGAGTCAGTGGTAGTGTGAGTGAGTCAGTGGTAGTGTGAGTCAATGGTAGTGTGAGTCAGTGGTAGTGTGAGTGAGTCAGTGGTAGTGATAGTGAGTCAGTGGTAGTGTGAGTCAGTGGTAGTGTGAGTCAGTGGCAGTGTGAGTGAGTGTATGATGTGTGAGTGAGTCAGTGGTAGTGTGAGTGAGTCAGTGATAGTGTAAGTGAGTCAGTGGTAGTGTGAGTGAGTCAGTGATAGTGTGAGTGAGTCAGTGGTAGTGTGAGTGAGTGTATGATGTGTGAGTGAGTCAGTGGTAGTGTGAGTCAGTGGTAGTGTGAGTCGGTGGTAGTGTGAGTGAGTGTATGATGTGTGAGTGAGTCACTGGTAGTGTGAGTCAGTGGTAGTGTGAGTGAGTCGGTGGTAGTGTGAGTGAGTGTATGATGTGTGAGTGAGTCGGTGGTAGTGTGAGTCAGTGGAAGTGTGAGTGAGTCAGTGGCAGTGTGAGTGAGTCAGTGGTAGTGTGAGTGAGTCAGTGGTAGTGCGAGTGAGTCGGTGGTAGTGTGAGTGAATCAGTGGTAGTGTGAGTGAGTCGGTGGTAGTGTGAGTGAGTCAGTGGTAGTGTGAGTGAGTGTATGATGTGTGAGTGAGTCAGTGGTAGTGTGAGTGAGTCAGTGGTAGTGTGAGTGAGTCGGTGGTAGTGTGAGTGAGTCAGTGGTAGTGTGAGTGAGTCGGTGGTAGTGTGAGTGAGTCAGTGGTAGTGTGAGTGAGTCAGTGGTAGTGTGAGTGAGTCAGTGGTAGTGTGAGTGAGTCAGTGGCAGTGTGAGTGAGTCTGTGATAGTGTGAGTAAGTCAATGTATGTGTGAGTGAGTCAGTGGTAGTGTGAGTGAGTCAGTGGTAGTGTGAGTGAGTCAGTGGCAGTGTGAGTGAGTCAGTGGTAGTGTGAGTGAGTAAATGGTAGTGTGAGTGAGTCAGTTGTAGTGTGAGTGAGTCAGTGGTAGTGTGAGTGAGTCAGTGATAGTGTGAGTGAGTAAATGGTAGTGTGAGTGAGTCAGTTGTAGTGTGAGTGAGTCAGTGGTAGTGTGAGTGAGTCAGTGATAGTGTGAGTGAGTCAGTGGTAGTGTGAGTGAGTGTATGATGTGTGAGTGAGTCAGTGGTAGTGTGAGTCAGTGGTAGTGTGAGTGAGTCGGTGGTAGTGTGAGTGAGTGTATGATGTGTGAGTGAGTCAGTGGTAGTGTGAGTCAGTGGTAGTGTGAGTGAGTCAGTGGTAGTGATAGTGAGTCAGTGGTAGTGTGAGTGAGTCGGTGGTAGTGTGAGTGAGTCGGTGGTAGTGTGAGTGAGTCGGTGGTAGTGTGAGTGAGTCAGTGGTAGTGTGAGTGAGTCAGTGGTAGTGTGAGTGAGTCGGTGGTAGTGTGAGTGAGTCAGTGGTAGTGTGAGTGAGTCGGTGGTAGTGTGAGTGAGTCAGTGGTAGTGTGAGTGAGTCAGTGGTAGTGTGAGTGAGTCAGTGGCAGTGTGAGTGAGTCAGTGGTAGTGTGAGTGAGTCAGTGGTAGTGTGAGTGAGTAAATGGTAGTGTGAGTGAGTCAGTTGTAGTGTGAGTGAGTCAGTGGTAGTGTGAGTGAGTCAATGGCAGTGTGAGTGAGTGAGTGAGTGGTAGTGTGAGTGAGTCAGTGGTAGTGTGAGTGAGTCAGTGGTAGTGTGAGTCAGTGGCAGTGTGAGTGAGTCAGTGGTAGTGTGAGTGAGTCAGTGGTAGTGTGAGTCAGTGTGTGATGTGTGAGTGAGTCAGTGTATGATGAGTGAGTGAGTGAGTCAGTGGTAGTGTGAGTGTGTGATGTGTGAGTGAGTCAGTGTATGATGAGTGAGTGAGTGAGTCAGTGGTAGTGTGAGTCAGTTGCAGTGTGAGTGAGTCAGTGTATGATGTGTGAGTGAGTCAGTGGTAGTGTGAGTGAGTCAGTGGTAGTGATAGTGAGTCAGTGGTAGTGCGAGTGAGTGTATGATGTGTGAGCGAGTCAGTGGTAGCGTGAGTGAGTCGGTGGTAGTGTGAGTGAGTGTATGATGTGTGAGTGAGTGCCGGTTGGAAACATTTAGGCTGGCCTGCCTACGATCCATCCTGGGTTTAACCTGCAGGCTGGATTGTGTGAGGAGCTCACAATCCTTTAAAGATCTGGGCAAAGTCCCATCGGTGAGCTCCTCCGGCAGGCAAGGCTGCGTTGGCTGGGTCATGTAGCCCGCATGCCCAGCCACCGCATGCCTAAACAGCTTTTGTTCGGCCGGATCGAGGGGGCTAGACGGGCGCGGCACGGGCTAGAGAAGAGATGGAGTGATGTGGTACAGGAGGACGTTGATCTGAGTGGACTTGCCGATGACTGGTACCAGCGGTGTCAAGATCGGCCTCAGTGGAGGTGGCTCGTGAAGGACGCTACTGGGCAGTTGGAGGCAGTCGCCCTCCAACAACAACGGAGGGCGGAGGAGCGACGCTCACAACAACGAGCGGAGCGCCGGGTGGCTAAAGCACAGCAAGTTGGCACAATAGGGGGCACAGGTGGTGCATCAGCCAGTCATCTCGGTCATCTCGGTCAGTCGACCCGTGGCACCTGCTGGGTCTGCCCCGTGACCTCCTGCCAGCGGGCGTTCGACACTTCACGTGGCCTCAAGGTGCACTTGGCCTGGCACAAGCGTCGTGGTGACGTCACCGCCACTTAGTGGCGAATGGCGGTTGTTGTTGTATCTGTGTGTGTGTATCTGCGTGTGTGTGTGGGGAGCGATAGTGTAGCGGTTAGCGCGCTGCGCTATGAACCTGGCGACCCGAGTTCGATTCCCGCTCACGGCCAACACCAGTGACGATTATCTGAACCGGTCCTGGGCCTCCCCTAGGTCGACTTAGCCTTAAATGAGTACCTGGTGCGGTGTGTAAACATCGCCACTGGGGAGACAAAGGCGGTCGGGCGTGGTGCTGGCCACCCACCCCCTCGTGTACCGTTCCGGCCTTCATAGGTGCTCGCTAACAGCACTTGCCCCTACAGTCTGTTGAGGCTATACGGGGGATCTTTGTTGTGTGTGTGTGTGTCTGTGTGTGTGTCTGTGTGTAGTAGAAGCCACCTTTTTCATCATCATGTTCTGCTTGTTGAAGAACTCCATCTTGACGTCCTCACAGAGGAGTAACGCCCGGGGCAGCGTGAAGACCAAACAGCGGTCCTCCCTCCTCACGCACGACAACGAAAGCAGCTTCATCTTCTCTTTGTACACCACCAGGTGTGGGTCTAACACACACACACACACAGGTAGATACATACACTACACTATACACTACACACACACAGGTAGATACATACACTACACTATACACTACACACACACAGGTAGATACATACACTACACTATACACTACACACACACAGGTAGATACATACACTACACTATACACTACACACACACAGGTAGATACATACACTACACTATACACTACACACACACAGGTAGATACATACACTACACTATACACTACACACACACAGGTAGATACATACACTACACTATACACTACTTTATACACTACACACTACACTACACCATACACTACACTATACACTACACACACACAGGTAGATACATACACTACACTATACACTACACACACACAGGTAGATACATACACTACACTATACACTACACACACACAGGTAGATACATACACTACACTATACACTACACTATACACTACTTTATACACTACACACTACACTACACCATACACTACACTATACACTATACACTACACACACACAGGTAGATACATACATCCATACACTACACTATACACTACACACACACAGGTAGATACATACATCCATACACTACACTCTATACACTACACTATACACTACTATACACTATACACTACACACACAGGGGTAGATAGATACATACACTACACTATACACTACACTACACACTACACTCTATACACTACACTATACACAAACACCCAGACCCACAGAGACCCACAGACACGCAAAGAGAGCCACAGATATCCAGACCCATAGAGACCCATAGAGACCCACAGAGACCCACACCCACAGAGACCCACAGACACCCAGACCCATAGAGACCCACAGACACTCACAGACACCCAGACCCACAGAGACCCACAGAGACCCATTGAGACCCACAGACACCCAAACCCACAGACACCCACAGACACCCAGACCCACAGAGACCCACAGAGACCCATTGAGACCCACAGACACCCAGACCCACAGAGACCCACAGACACCCACAGACACCCAGACCCACAGAGACCCACAGAGACCCATTGAGACCCACAGACACCCAGACCCACAGAGACCCACAGACACCCAGACCCACAGACACCCACAGACACCCAGACCCACAGAGACCCATTACCCACAGACACCCAGACCCACAGAGACCCACAGACACCCAGACCCACAGACACCCACAGACACCCAGACCCACAGAGACCCACAGACACCCAGACCCACAGACACCCAGACCCACAGAGACCCACAGACACCCAGACCCACAGAGACCCACAGAGACCCATTGAGACCCACAGACACCCAGACCCACAGAGACCCACAGACACCCAGACCCACAGAGACCCACAGACACCCACAGAGACCCATAGAGACCCACAGAGACCCACAGACACCCAAACCCATAGAGACCCACAGACACCCACAGAGACCCACAGAGACCCACAGACACCCAGACCCATAGAGACCCACAGACGCCCACAGACACCCACAGAGACCCACAGACACCCACAGATACCCACACACCCACAGACACCCACAGACACCCACAGACAACCAGACCCACAGACACCCATAGACCCACACACACACAGACCCACAGACACCCAGACCCACAGACACCCACAGACACCCAGACCCACAGAGATACACAGACACCAACAGAGACCCACAGACCCATAGAGACCCACAGACCCATAGAGACCCACAGACCCATAGAGACCCACAGAGACCCACAGAGACCCACAGACACCCAGACCCACAGAGACCCACAGACACCCACAGACACCCACAGACACCCAGACCCACAGACACCCATAGAGACCCACACACACACAGACCCACAGACACCCACAGAAACCCAGACCCACAGAGACCCACAGACACCCACAGACCCATAGAGACCCACAGAGACCCATAGACACCCACAGACACCCACAGACACACCCACAGAGACCCACAGAGACACCCACAGATACCCACAGACACCCACACACACCCATAGACACCCACAGACACCCACAGATACCCACAGACACGCAGACCCACAGACACAGAGACCCACAGACACGCAGACCCACAGACACAGAGACCCACAGACACCCACAGACACACCCACAGACACACCCACAGACACAAACACCCACAGACACCCACCCACAGACACCCACAGACACCCACACACCCACAGACACACCCAGACACCCACAGACACCCAGGCCCACAGAGACCCACAGAGACCCACAGACACACCCACAGACACCCACAGACACCCACACACATCCACAGACACCCACAGACACACCCACAGACACCCACAGAGACACCCACACACACCCACAGACACCCACAGAGACACCCACAGAGACACCCACACACACCCACAGACACCCACAGAGACACCCACACACACCCACAGGCACCCACAGACACGCAGACCCACAGACACCCATAGAGACCCACACACACACAGACCCACAGACACCCACAGAAACCCAGACCCACAGAGACCCACAGACACCCACAGACCCATAGAGACCCACAGAGACCCATAGACACCCACAGACACCCACAGACACAGAGACCCACAGAGACACCCACAGATACCCACAGACACCCACACACACCCATAGACACCCACAGACACCCACAGACACCCACAGATACCCACAGACACGCAGACCCACAGACACAGAGACCCACAGACACGCAGACCCACAGACACAGAGACCCACAGACACCCACAGACACACCCACAGACACACCCACAGACACAAACACCCACAGACACCCACAGACACCCACCCACAGACACCCACAGACACCCACACACCCACAGACACACCCAGACACCCACAGACACCCAGGCCCACAGAGACCCACAGAGATCCACAGACACACCCACAGACACCCACACACACCCACAGACACCCACACACATCCACAGACACCCACAGACACACCCACAGACACCCACAGAGACACCCACACACACCCACAGACACCCACAGAGACACCCACAGAGACACCCACACACACCCACAGACACCCACAGAGACACCCACACACACCCACAGGCACCCACAGACACGCAGACCCACAGACACCCATAGAGACCCACACACACACAGACCCACAGACACCCACAGAAACCCAGACCCACAGAGACCCACAGACACCCACAGAGACCCACAGACCCATAGAGACCCACAGAGACCCACAGAGACCCACAGACACCCAGACCCACAGAGACCCACAGACACCCACAGACACCCAGAGATACCCAGACCCACAGACACCCATAGAGACCCACACACACAGACCCACAGACACCCACAGAAACCCAGACCCACAGAGACCCACAGACACCCACAGAGACCCATAGACACCCACAGACACCCACAGACACCCACACCCACAGACACCCACAGACACGCAGACCCACAGACACCCACAGACACCCACAGAAACCCACAGAGACACCCAGACCCACAGAAACATCCACAGAGACACCCACAGAGACCCAGATACCCACAGACGCCCACAGACACGCAGACCCACAGACACAGAGACCCACAGACACACCCACAGAAACCCACAGACACCCACAGAGACACCCAGACCCACAGAAACATCCACAGAGACACCCACAGAGACCCAGATACCCACAGACACCCACACACACCCACAGACACCCACAGACACCCACAGACACCCACAGACACGCAGACCCACAGACACAGAGACCCACAGACACGCAGACCCACAGACACGCAGACCCACAGACACAGAGACCCACAGACACCCACAGACACACCCACAGACACACCCACAGACACCCACAGACACCCACCCACAGACACCCACAGACACCCACAGACACCCACACACCCACAGACACACCCACAGACACCCATAGACACCCACAGACACCCAGCCCCACAGAGACCCACAGAGACCCACAGACACACCCACAGACACCCACACACACCCACAGACACACACACACATCCACAGACACCCACAGACACCCACAGAGACACCCACACACACCCACAGCCACCCACAGACACGCAGACCCACAGACACAGAGACCCACAGACACGCAGACCCACAGACACAGAGACCCACAGACACCCACAGACACACCCACAGACACCCCCACAGACACCCAGACCCACAGACACCCACAGACACCCACAGACACCCACAGACACCCACAGACACACCCACAGACACCCACAGACACCCACAGACACCCACCCACAGATCAGCACGCTTGGTTACGCAACGCGTGCGTGAACTCTGAACTCTCCCGTCACTCACTGCAGGTGCCTCCGCTGAACATGGGGATTGTCTCGAAGGTGATCTTGTGTAGCAGCACGGGCGTGGAGCGGTACTCCAGCGCGTGGGTCACCAGGTAGCTGTAGTAGTAGACGTAGCGCCTCTGCGAAGGGATCGTCACACCCTGCCGGACACACACACACACAGAGGCACACACACGGGGTCACACACACACACACGGGGTCACACACACACACAAGGGGTCACACACACACAGAGGCACACACACGGGGTCACACACACACACACGGGGTCACACACACACAAGGACACCCAGACACACACACAGAGGCACACACACAGAGGCACACACACAGAGGCACACACACTGGGTCACACACACACACAAGGACACCCAGACACACACACAGAGGCACACACACAGAGGCACACACACGGGGTCACACACACACACAGAGGCACACACAAGGGGTCACACACACACAAGGACACCCAGACACACACACAGAGGCACACACACAGAGGCACACACACGGGGTCACACACACACACACAGAGACACCACACACGGGGTCACACACACACACAGAGGCGCACACACGGGGTCACACACACACACACATGGACACACACCGGCGCACACACACACACACACAGAGGCACACACACGGGGTCACACACACGCACAAGGGAGTACATACACACGGACACACACAGAGGCACACACACACACACGGGTGCACGCACACACAAACACAGACATACAGACACACACGGACACACACACGGACACACGCGGACACACACAGAGGCACACATACAAGTGAGCACACACAAACACAGACACACGGACACACACGGATACACACGGACACACACGTGCACACGGACGCATGGAAACTTACAGATAGACACAAAATTCAAGATCCCCACCCACCCCCGTGCCCGTGTAGCCTTAACAGACTGTTGGGGCAAGTGCTGTTAGTGAGCACACACAGACACACAGACACACAGACACACACACAGACACACACACACACATAAACACAGACACACAGACACACACGCACACACAGACACACACACACGCACACACAGACACACACACACAGACACGCACACACAGACACACACACACTGACACACACACTGACACACACAGACACACACAGACAGACATACCCACACACAGACAGACATACACACAGACAAACACACACAGACAGACACACACAGACAGACACACACAGACACACACAGGAACACACACACACAGACACAACAACAACAACAGCCTCCATTCGCCACTAGGTGGTGGTGACGTCACCACGGCACCCGTGCCAGGCTATGTGCACGTTGAGGCCACGTGAAGTGTTGAATCCCGCTGGCAGAGGCACGG